GTTGCCCAAATTTCCAAGGGAAGGACACCCAGGCTAACTCCGAGATTTATGCTTTTCTGATGGGCCAATATGAGTTGAGAGGATTCTGGACTTAGAAGTGAAGCTTCGAATAACTTCAATGAAATGTCAATTTACCCCAATCAAAATCTCTTGGATGAAGATACTCTTTTAGGGAATGAGTCTGAGATGATCCCTGATTTGATTTAGAACTCAAATCCCACTGCAAACTGCTATAATTAGGGGTTCAAAGCATGAGATTTGGATTCTAGGGTTTATGATGAAGGCTGAAAAAGGAACAACACAGAAACTATTTTTGGGGTTTTGTTACCAAAAGGGAAAACAAAGAAACATGATATGGAAGGCAACAAAAGATGTGATGGTGTATACAATGAAGGAGAAGAAAAATGATTAACGTTAGATGACTAACAGAGGCTGGGAATGCCCGGTGGTGACTCCCATTCAGGAGGCAGAAACTCTCATTTTTTGGGAGGGGAAGCCATTGCACTTTAAAATTACAGGCTTGTTCAACTAATTAAATATGGAATTTAAGCCTTAAATTTAGTGGTTTTAACAATTTGATTTATGGCAATAATCATTCCCGTAACAAAGGGTTGTTTTACCATTTGAGATTTGTACTTTGAGTCGTTCACAGTTGGTTCAGTTCAATGTTTGATCATTTTGCCTACCAAACCAATATAATCTTTCTTAATATATTATAAAAATTGTTAAATTCTTCAATAAATCCCAAATAAACATAATGTACATTTTAAAATCTTTAATAAATACCAAAAAAATACCTTTTAAAATCTTCAATAAATACCAAATAGTTATCCAATGAGTCTTTTAAAATCCGAACTCAATAATATTTTCAATAGTAATCTTTTCATATGCATCTCCAATAGTATATTTTGAATAATAATCTTTCCTTTTAATACAATTCTACTTCAATTTGACTTTAACTACTTTAATTATATCTTATTATTTTACTATATTATAAAAATT